ATCAGCGCAGCGCTCTCTTTCTGTCCCCCCTTAAAAGGGATGATAAAACTCCCTGGAGGGGCTCCTTCCCAAGGCCACTGTCGAACCCGTCTCCTCCCCGAGCAGAGAGCAGTAAATCTCTGTGTGAAGCTGTTGCTGACGTGTTGATGCTCCTCAGGTACCTCGTGAAGATGCTGTGGGGCTGGATGGTGTGTCAGGAGGGACTGGCAGCCTGTGTCATCCCCGGCAGCCTCAGCCTCTGCGCTGCCTCCTCCGGGCACCCTCCTCATCCTCAATCACACAACTGAGACTAATAACAGCAGCGCACCGCCCTGCAGCCGGGACACAGTTATCTGCAGTTCCTCAAGTATTTATGTGTAACAGGAGTTTAATACAGAGGAAAGTCTCCAGGAGCTGTTAGTATTCAGCAGCAAATTCCTTTGCGTGGTGCGTGCCAGCCCGGCGTGCAGTCCCCCCCCGGCAATCGTCTCTCCGTTCGGCTGCTGTGCCCTGAAAGGCCGACCTCAAAAGCTCCCAAACCCTAAGACAGATATAAGTCTTATTTTATAAGAACATATAAAGATCAAAACAGAATATTTAAGCTCATATTATGCAACAGACAGCTCTTTTAAGTTGTGATTTGTAAAGACAGTTCAGATAATTTCCTGAAAGACATACTCATAATGATTAATTTAGAATATGTTTAATTCAAGTTAGAGAGATCAAAGGGACAGCGTTTCCCCCTGTAACGCCGTTTGCGTTTTCACGGACCGTGTGTGTGTGGGGGGGTGACTGATTTGTCTTTGGCTGTGATTTCTCTGGGCTAAAACTGCAGAGAAAAGGGTAATACAGACATTGCTGCTAACGTGGGGCAGGGACAGGGAGAAGAGCCCAGAGACTGGCTGTGGGGGGCCAGGGGGGTGATGCTGGGGGAGGTGAAGGTGTCCCTTCTGCTCCTCTCACCCCGCTGGAGAGGTTCCTGCTTCTGCAGCTCCTTCTGGCGCTTTCCGTGAGCCTTGTGTGTAGGAGCCTTTCCTGAGGGGGCCGTGGGGTTGGTGTGGGGGGGACGGAGCCCAGTGCAGCCTGTGGGGCCGGGCAGGGTCCTGGGGAGCCCCCAGATGTGCCACCACCGCTGGCAGCAGCGGGGCAGGGGGGTGCAGGTGCAGCGGCAGCTGCTGCCGGTATTACAGCCCTTCAGCACTAATTTGGAATAATTAGTCAGTACGTCTTTATTTACACAACCAGGATTTCCGTTGTACGGTCGGTTGTTTTAACCTCTGCGGCTGCGTCCAGTCTGCCTTTAGTTCAGCCTGTGAAGTCATCTTTTCTAGGGGAAGAAAATAAAACCAGCATTTATTACTGTTTTTCATATAATGTAGGAGAAAGTCCAGTCTTCCTCAGGCTGGAACAGCAGCCGCGGTCAGTCGTTTGGTACCTGATGGTGAGCGGGGCTGGGCTGCCCCTGCCCCTGCACAGGAGATGCTGCCGGTTCCCTCCTGACAAGCTCCGTGATGCTGCTTCAGTTCTCCTTGGAAAAAAAATGAATCTTGTTTAATGAAAGAACAATAAGGTGCTCTAAGACAGGAGAAGGGATTTGGATTCTGGCAGGTTGTGTTGTTCCCTTCCGTTCTGTGCCCTTGTACTTGCGCGGGGGCACAGCCTGTACCGGGCGGTGGTTGTGTGTGACAGTGATGGATGATGCACCCAGAGACTCAATTAGCCTATTAATAAAGCACAATCTGGGCCACGCTTCTCCGAGCTCCGCACCTAAATCTGTATTCAGGCTCAGGAATGAGCGGCCTCGTTTCCCGAGTGGGTGCTGGTGAAGGGTCTGGTTTGGGATGGGAAGGGAGGGTGGACACTGCAGCCGCAGGGACCTGGCCCAGGGCCATCCACCTCTGCCTTCCCCACCTGGGGAATGGGCACAACTGCCCCTCCCCAGCTCATTGAATGAGTGTCTCTGCACTGGGGGGGTTGCGGGACAGGGTGGGATCCCAGGGGACCGGGGCTTTGCCGGCCCAAGGAGTCACCGTTGGCTCAGGTTGTGCTCAGACTCCAGGTTTCTGGTCCTTGAGCCATAGAAAAGGGGACATGGCCAGTGTGAGTGGCCCTGGGGTCCCTCCTGCTCCCCATGCGTCCGTTGTCCCCACCATGGACTGGCATCTTGTCCCCCTGGGGTGATCTGAGGGTGCTTCCCGAGTGTGGAATGTTTCATTTTTTCCAGTGCTGGGGGTGTTTGGACACCATGGCAGGGGTAAGGAGCAGCTTTGCTGTTCATCCCGGGAGGGGATGCAGGAGAGGAGAGCAGGCAGAGACAGTTCCTGGCGTTTCAGCTCTGATTGTGGATCCTGTGGGCTGGCAGGACCCGCTGCCCGTGGGGAAGCTGGGTTGGTTTGTGGTTTCAGCATCTCCCGGGGCTGGGGGTGGCTCTGGAGGCACCGCTGCTCAGCTCCAGCCCTGCTCCTGGCCGCACCGCCTGGCTCCAACACCCTCTGTGCAGCACTCGGGGCAGAAGAATCCACCTTGGCTGCATCCCAAACCCATCCCAGCCAACGCTTTTGCCACAGGAGGCTTTTTAAGACCTGACCTGAGCTTGGCTGATGCCCAAGTGAGTCCCACCTCACTTTTACTGGGCAGCACCGGGGTCTTCCCTCCGCCGGGCACGGGGGCTGTCTGTCCTTCCCCCTCCTTCTGTTCCCTCCGGAGCTGGAGCGGGCACCGCACGCCCCGTGTCCCCCCACCCCCCCCGTGCTGCCTGGCCGGCTCTGCTCCCCTGCGGAGCTCTGTGGCTGCCCAGGATGCTCCACCAGCCGTTGCTGCTGGCCGAGGGCCAGCGCTGCAGCAGCGGGGCTGGCGGGATGGACGGGCTCCCCCGCGGCCGCTGCGGAGGCAGGGTTTGTCCCCCGGGACCAGGGTGACCCTGCTGCGGCCGCAGCTTGCCCGGGGGCCACCAGACCAGTGCCTCCCATCACCTTGCTGCTGCCCTGCTGCCTGCCAGGCTCCGGGAGCAAGTCATTTTAGCTGCTGCATAATCCCAGCCTGGACTTTGCCTCTCTCCAAAGGAAGCACCGTTTATTTAAAACGCCAGAGGTGTCTGTCACACCGTGCTGAGCCCCAGGAACGGTTAATGCCAGAGCCGTGGGGTTCCCCCGTGGCAGGGCCTGTGTCTGGGGGTGGTTAGTTGATCAGATGATGCACGTGTTCAGTGTGTTTGTGGGGAAGCAGAAGCCGGTGTTCACTGAAGGAGGCAGTGGGCGGCTCTGTCAGGAGCAGCCTCTGAGCTGCAGAGACGCCGCGGTGGAAGGCGGCTCCCCCGTCCACTGTGGGTAAAGTGGGTCCCCCGTGGGCTGCAGGTAATGCAGGTCTCCCATGGATTGCAGGGTGAAGCGTGTCCCCCCATCCCCGGGTCCTTCTGCAGACCCCGGAGCACAGTGGAGGGTGGGCAGCAATGGGGGGGCTGAGGGGCAGGACCCTGCCTGTGTACCCCCATCAGCCTGGGCACCTGGGGCAGAGACAGCGGGGTCCTAACGATTTTACCTCTTCTCCCTCTCTGGCCCCAGGCGAGGGGTTTCCCAGGGCTGTGTCACTCAGTTTAAGCTTTTCAGAAAGAAATAGAATACCAGTTTTGATCCCAAAGCTGGCACAGGCTCCTTATTCTTCTTGGCTTCCTGAATTTAATCCTTTAGTGCATAGGAAAAGCCTTTCTGGATCAAATAGTGACCATCTTTTTGGCAGAGGGGATGCGCAGCCCATCTCCAGCGGTGACCCCCGTGGCCAGACGAGCTGTGAGTGGGGTCCCGGGGGGCTGTGAGTGGGTGTCACTGGGGTCCCGGGGCCCCCCACCTCCCTTTGGTGCTGCCTCTCCACACCAAAGGCAGGAAGGACCATGGTGTCCGGGGCCCAGCGCTGCTGGGGAGCAGCTCACAGTTAAGTGCAAGCCTCAGTCTTTGCATCACTGGAAATTAAATTTTTAGTAATTTTGAGATGGATCAGCTTTTATGACTGTAATACTTTAAAATTCCCCATTAACGTTCAGTCCAGCACTGTGTGTAAGTTGTACTGGCCCCCAGGGCCTCATAAAGCTGTGATTCTCGTTGCTCAGATGCTGCCCCCCTCTCCAGAGTGGGGTCTGGGGGCACAGACGGGTCCTGGGAAAGGTGGGGGTTGGTGGAGCCCCCCAAGGCAGCCGCAGCGATGCCCAGACACAGCCCCCGGGACCAGGGACGGGAAAGGCTTTTTCCCAAAAGCTCAATGGCAGAAAAAGCACAGAAGAAATCAGCTAAAAATAGGCAGGTGGGCCCTGGGCTGACGCCGCGGTGCCAGACCGGGGAAGGAGTGTGTGACGGAGGGAGCAGAGGCGATGAGGTGATGGTGACCTGCGCCGTGTCTGCGGCGAGGGGGGCCACGGGGGTCACCACAGCAGCAAAGCTGCGACTTCACTGATCTGCCTGCAAACAGACCCCAAAATTCACAGCTTCCCCGCCAACGCTTCACTCCGGCTCGAGCTGCCGGGTGATTCCCAGACACGCTCTGACCTCGGTCACCATGTTCTTTATGCTCTTAAAATACCCTGGGTGGCTGGTGGTGGTCAGGCTGTGTTTGGGGTGGTTGCTGTTCTGCTGCCCCACTCGTGCTCCATCCAGGCGGCTTCACCTCCCCACCACTGCCCAGAGTCACCTGGACCCAGTTGTTGTCCAAGCAATGGTGGGTTTTGGCTGGTGCTGTGGTCTCCTGCCCAGCCCTGGGCAGCCTCGCTGGGGTCTTGGGATGGGAATGAGGGACGGGGACGAGGGCACTCCATGGCATCCTGCTCCCGGCTGCTGTGGGGCTGCCCCTCAGGTGGGATGTGAGACAGTTTCTGAGCTGAAAATGGCTCTGGTGAAGGGGAAGTTGGTGGGATTTGCACTGTTCTCGGTGCCACCTTACAGATTTTGGACCCTTCACCCGCTCAGCATCCCCGAGCTCCTCAGCCCCGCCGTCCCCCTCCTGCCGCCCCGTAAATGGGCTCCTTTCTCTTGCAGAGAGATGCCAAGGGCCAGTACCTGTTCGACCTTCTCTGCCACCACCTGAACCTGCTGGAGAAGGACTACTTTGGCATTCGGTTCGTGGACCCCGACAAGCAAAGGGTGAGAGCCCGTCCCGCCGGGGCTGGCTGTTGGGGGTTCTTGCAGCTCGGTGCTCTCAGGCGTGTCCTGGCTGCTGTGGCTGAGAACCAGAGCCTGCGGCCAGTGGCCAAAATTCGGTTTAGGAGGTGATGGGGGACTCTTCCCCAGCCGTTCTCCCTGCCTGGTGCTGGGAAGGGGACAAAGCCCAGGGGGTACGGGTAGCCTGATGGGGTCGTTGCTTTGCCTGTGGGAAAAGCGGCTACTTATGGTCTCCCTGAGCGTCCCGGGGGTCTCCCCTGCCCCTTCCCACCCCTTTGGCCAGAGCCAGGGATGGCTCTGGTGCTCCAGCCCTGGGGAGGGGGTGCCAGGGTGCACTCGGGCTCTGGCAGCGGCAGCCTCGGTGTCCTGGCCTCGGGACACGTCCTCGGCGCCGGTGGGGACATGTGAGCTGAGGAACCTCTTGGAGCCCTGCGTGAGCAGCGAGAGCATCGGGGGTTTGCAAAGTGAGAGGGTGTGATGCTATTGCCCAGGCAAAGGAGATCTCCTGACAGAGGGTTTGCAGGACTGTTTCCAGCGCAGAGCTGTGTTTTAACACCGAGATTAGGCCAAGTGACAGCTTTGTGCCCAGAATCCAAACACGTGTGTGTGTTGCCTCGGGCAGAGCAGAGTGAAACAAGACGTGGCAGTGCCTGGAGCCAAGAGCCCCATGGCAGGAGCTGGGCTGACCCAGCAGCTCCCGGCAGGGATCTGTGCAAGTCCCACTGCATCCCTGGTGGCTGCCATGGGTCTGGGCACAGGGTGGCACAGCATCCCCCAGGGACAGAGCTCCACCACGCTCCCAATGTGTGACCAGCAGGTCGAGGAAGGTCATCCCCCCACTCTGCTTTGCCCTGGTGGGCCTGCATCGGCAGCATTGGGTCCAGTTCTGGGCCCCCCAGTTCCAGAAGGACAGGGAACTGCTGGAAAGAGTCTAGCGGAGGCTATGAGGATGATGAGGGACTGGAGCATCTCTCTGCTGAGGAAAGGCTGGGAGACCTGGGGCTGTTCAGCTGGAGAAGAGCAGGCTGAGGGGGGATCTTATCAATGCTTATAAATATCTAAAGGGCAGGGGGCAAGGGAACGGGGTCAGGCTCTTCTCAGTGGTGCCTGATGGCAGGACAAGGGGCAACGGGCACAAACTGGGACATGGGAAATTCTATCTGAACATGTGGAAAAACGTCTTTGCTGTGAGGGTGGCAGAGCCCTGGCAGAGGCTGCCCAGAGACGTGGTGGAGTCTCCTGCTCTGGAGACATTCAAATCCCCTGGACATGTTCGTGTGGGTCCTGCTCTGGGTGGACCTGCTCTGGCAGGGGGTTGGACTGGATGGTCTCCAGAGGTCCCTTCCAACCCCTGCCATTCTGGGATTCTGTGATTTCCACGCAGAAGTTGTATGAGTGAGTCCTGCCACTTCTTCGGGGTTACCTGTCCACGCTCCTTTTGCAACACACAGAACACAAGTTGTGCACAAACACACATTAAATCACTGCTTGCCATTAGAGCCCTGGAGGTTTGTGAGTGAGCAGTGCTGTGAACGTGCTCACAGCCCTAACTATTAATAACAGTCTTGTTATTAATTCCTGCTGATCAGTAGAAGCCAACAATTTCTGCTCCCCGAGGCACCTCCTGCCGTCTCTGCGGTGGGGAGCACCGGAGCTGGGCTGGGGAGCTGCTCCCTCGCTGCCACCCGTGGTGGGATGGGGCTGATCCCAGCCCCTCGCTCCCCCCTTCCCCCTTCCAGGGGCACACACCGACCCTCATGTGGCTTTTCTCACCCGGAGCAGTAGCCTCCTCCTCCTCCTCACCCTCTCCCCTTGCTGAGCTGGAGCCACTGGGGAGCGTGGGGTGCTGCTGCCTCTCCTGGGGTCTCTGGACCTCACCCCCCCCTCACCTCACCAATGCCCCCCAACTTGTGTTTTCTGGGCTCTCTCCCTCCCGTCTCTCCAGCCTCATCTCCTGGCTGTTGTTGTCATGAGCTGCCAGCCTGCAGGGAGGTGGGTCTGTATTTTTTGCCTGCAGAACCTTGATTTAAGCTTTAAAAATCTCATCTCCAGGTGACCGGTCCACGCACTTCTTCCACACCAGCCGGGGCACATGGGCAACCGTGTGGCACCAGTGAAGGGGGGGATTTTAAGGAGGACCCTTGTCTGCTGGTGAGACAGGCAGGGGCTGCAGCCCCCTCCCGCCTCAGCACAGGCTTCTATTTCAAGCAGAAGGGGGGTTGTTTCTTTAATTTTGCCCCAAAGAGTCAATGTTATTAATGGAAAGCGTTTGTTACCGAGTTGCTTTAATTGCCTTCTCTGTCCTTGCAGCACTGGCTGGAGTTCACCAAGTCGGTTGTGAAGCAGATGAGGGGTGAGTGTTGCTGCGAGCGGACGGACAGACGGCCCGTGCTCTTTCCCTCTTAGATGTGTGTCCGTTTTCCCCAGTCCTTCCCCTCCCGGGTGCATTCCCAGCACATCTCCCAGAAAAAGGGCCCTTTTTTGATTATCCACCAAGCTGTTCTGCTGGATCAAAACTGAGATCATTCCCCACCAGTCCCGCAGCCAGCTGGGACCCCCCAGCACATGGGCAGAGGTGATGGGGATGAGCAAAGGGGGATTTGTGGGTGCCAGGGCCATCCTGGCCAGCGGGGAGGGGTGGTGTGGCTGGCAGACAGTGCCATGGGCTGTTGGGGAGGAGGAAGGGGACAAACCCCGCCGTTTGGTGACCGAGGTGCCGCTGTTCTCTCTGCAGCCCAGCCTCCCTTCACCATGTGCTTCCGCGTGAAGTTTTACCCCACGGACCCCGCTGCCCTGAAGGAGGAGATCACCAGGTGAGACCCTGCTGGGGATACTGGGCAGGAGCACACCCTGCCGAGCTCTGCGTCAGTCCAGGGAGACAGTTTGGGCACAAACTTGAACATGAGAAGTTCCACCTAAACATGAGGAGGAACTTCTTTGCTGTGAGGGTGGCAGAGCCCTGGAAGAGGCTGCCCAGGGAGGTGGTGGAGTCTCCTTCTCTGGAGACATTCAAACCCCCTGGACACGTTCCTGTGGGACCTGCTCTGGGTGGACCCCCAACTGGGGGGTTGGACTGGATGGTCTCCAGAGGTCCCTTCCAGCCCCATGGGATTCTGTGAGACTATAACAACAACAGCCATTCAGATTTCCCAACAAACCTGGCCATTTCTGAGTTGTCCCAGCTGTGGGGGACAAGTGTGGAAATCCCCGCTGTGCTTTGTTGGGGTGTGGAGTGGGGGGGGAGCACTGGCTCTGGGTTCAAACCCACTGACTTGGTCTTTGGCTGCAGTCGGTCACAAAACCCACGTTCCCAGGGCAAAGTGCTCCAGGTAGAGCTCTGCTCACCGTAATGTCCATCGCCATTCCCAAACCATCCTGCCAATGCAAGAGCTCCAGGGCTGCACCAGGAATTTCCCCGCAGCTCCCTGAACTCTCTCCTTCCAGCTGGGACCCCCCGGTCCTGGCCAGCGGGAGGAGGTGGGTTCCAGCAGGAGCAGTGTTTCTCCTGCGAGGGTGTATTTCTGCCAATGCTCTTGCTGCTTCTGAATCAGCCCTCAGTGCTGCTGCCCGAGCACAGCCCTCGCGCAGGGTGTCATCAGGTGTGCTTGGCCCAGGCTGGAGTGTCTCTGGTCCCCTTGCTGTCCCCTGGAAGCAGTTTGCCACCTCCCTGTTACGTGAAGGGAGATGAAAGCTCTGGGAGAAACGGATGATGAACTGCGCTGCAGAGACTCGACAGTGCTTCTCTCGAGTTTCTATCTTTAGGGGCTCTTCGTGCCACTCCTCCTGCCAGAAGGAAGGACGTGAAGAGCACTCGCTGAGAAATTGCTGCAGCTTTGGGGAAAAAAAAGGGGGAGGTTTAGATTAGATATTGGGAAGAATGACTTTCCTGAGAGGGTGGTCAGGCACTGGAACAGCCTGCCCAGGGAGGTGGTGGAGTCCCCATCCCTGGAGGGATTTAAGAAATGTGTAGATGTGGCACTTCAGGGCGTGCTCTAGTGCCTGAGATCGTTGGGTTGTGTCTGTTTGTGGGTTTTGGGTTTTTTTTTTTTGTTTGTTTGTTTTTTTGTGGTTGGACTCAATGATCTCAAAGGTCCCTTCCAACCACAAAGACTCTGTGATTCTGTGGTCACCCTGCTGATGTGTCAGACACCTCTGCGTGTTGTCTCCTGGGACATTGGGTTAAGTAGGAGGGCTGAGCCTGGTCCCTCAGCGTGCCCCTGACACCCCAGCCACCCAGCAGTGGCAGCGGGGACAATGCTCTGCTGCCGTGAGATATTCCCCATGAATAGCAGGGGTCCGTGCTGAGCGCGTCAAGAATTAAGTCGGCTTACTGATAGAGCTAAATATATCCCAGGATTTCATTCTCGGGATTTTCAGTCTGTTTCTGCCGGCAGCAAAGGAGAGGGGGTGTCTGGGCTCGGGCAGCCTGCTGAGCAGTGTTTGGAATAGACATGGGCTCAGCTTTTTACTGAAGAAGTTTTGCATTAATAACCTCTGTATTTCTGTTTGGCAGATCAGTGAGAAGAAGCAGAGGATGGTGAGGTGTTTCCAAAAGCCGAAACTAAAAAACCACCCTCAGAGGTTTTTTGGAAGCCTGAGAAAGTTTCGGGTCTTTGGGTCTGACCTCAGATGGGGGCTGCAGATCAGGAGGAGTTGGTCAGAGCCCTGTGTGTGTTTGCTGAGCCTGTTGGAAGTGTCCTCGTGCCTGGAATGCTGCTGCTGCCAGCACATGCGCTGTCGCCGCTTTCTTGGGCATGATTGATCTGGTTTTTCGTACAAACACACTTTAGGGGACCCACAGAAGTCATTTCACACGGATCCGTCTCCTTGTTTTGCTGAAGAGGCATTTATTTCGTTTGCAGATGTACCGTTTCCCCCAGGGCCTGCAGCCTGCGCAGCCACCAGGCCTTCATTGAAATGTGAAATGGCCAAAGCCCCGTCTCTGAGCAGTGACAGCTCTTACGTGGGCATTAAGCTGCACGTACAATATGTTAATTGTATTTCTTTTCTTTAATCAGAGCTTAGCAAACCTCTGCAGTTGTTGGGCACAGTAAGGAGAATTGAAATGCAGGTCAGGGATTGACCCTTGGGAGGGTGGGGGCCTCGGGATGGAGCCAGCCCGGGGGCTCGCCGGGAAGCTCGGGGCTATTTCCCTCAGGAATATCCTGTCTCTAATGCCCTTTTCCGAGGCAGCCTCATGCCCCAGCCCAGCGCTGCCCGGGAAGCTCCCCTTTCCAGGGGGGTTTCCAAGGGGAATGGGGGGCTCTGGGGGGAGCACACGATGGGGCTGGGGGGCTCAGCAGGGTTAAACCCACTCGGTTATGCATTTTTGGTGAGGTCTGTGCTCTCCATCCCCACCGGCCCCTCGTGGGTGGGCTTGGGCAGCAGCAGCGTTTGTCCCCCGGCCACCAGCCGGGGCTGTCGGAGGTGATGGGGGGCACTGGGAGCTGGAGACCCGTGAATGAAGGAGTCCCCCAGCTTCAGGGCTGCAGCCACCTCCATCGCCTTCTGTGCCCTGGGGGTTTGGAGCCCTGCAGCCCCAGGCTCTGACTGTGTGGAGTCAGGCTCTGACAGTCCCCACAGACCCCCAGGGGTCCCCCAAGCACCAGGATGACACCACGGTGTGTGGCGGCTGTCCCTGCTCACCTCCTGCTACTACAGCTGAAACCTGGGCTTAAAATTCACTTTCCCCTGGACTGAGTACTCTTTAATATCTGGATTTCTCTTTAATATATTTTATCTGAGAAAATTAGTGATTTATCTCATCATAAATAGGGATTTGAGAGATGAAGCGTGACTGAGCTATTGCAGGGTATGAGGCTGTTACTCAAACACTGGGTCCCATTCTGCTCCTTCAGCTCTCTGACTTACCTTTTGCCATCAAAAGGTTTCCCCAAGTGCGCTGCTGCATGACTCAGCCCACACTGCGACTTGGGTTCAAATTTATGCAAATGTGTCATTTTCCAACATAGTTTATCTCTTTGCTGGGCTGTGGTGTGTGGAGATGGAGATGGGTGAGCGCAAGAGGTGGCTCGCTCTGGGTGACACGGTGATGATCGTGGGTGAGGGGGGAGGAGGGAAGGCGGGGCATACGCAGGGACCTGGAAGGGTACAGAAAGCTGGGGAAGGAGAAAATCACAGGAAGCTGAAAATATGGGGAAGCTGAGCAGCTGGGCGAGGATGCAGGACTGGGAAGCACAGCAGTCACTGGTGGGCTCAGGACCCCCTCCAGAGCATCATCTCTGGGCACCCTCAGCCCCGTGATGGGCTGGGGCTGTTGCAGTTGCCTTTGGGCACCGCTGCCCAAAACAGGGCAAAGCATCACGGGGGGCTCTGGGGGCTGGTGACCAGAGGGGACCTGTACCAGCACCTCCTTGTCCATGAATTTCCTCCTTTCCATGTTTTCCCTGGTGGGAACGCTCATCCTGGTATCTCCCTGCCCAAGGGGGCTCTCGACCTCTGCAGCAGCTCTGCCCTGCTTCAATGGCCATGCCAGCGGGGAGTGGGCTGGTGGGGACCTCCATCAGCCCCCAGGGTCGGGTGCCAGCCCCAGGGCAGGTACTGTGTCCCTGGGACATGGAGATCTGAGCCCCAGCACTGGCCCTGACCCAGGGAACAGCCCGGTAATTAGCACTTGTTCGCTCCTCGCAAGTGTAATATCTTGTAAATGGGCTGCTCGGAGAGAAATGTTAGTGCAAGTGTCTCGTGGCAGATATTCCACATCTAAATTGCCTGTTTAGGTAATTTAAACTTTGCTTAATAAATGGACTATCTCTTCTGTCCTCAGGTATTTAGTCTTCCTGCAGATAAAAAGGGATCTCTACCACGGCCGTCTCCTCTGCAAGACTTCGGATGCTGCTTTGTTGGCCGCCTATATCCTTCAAGGTAATGCTTTTTGACAAGATAAATTTGCTTTTCATGCTAAGTACTGATTACATTATTTCACTTACAACAGATCACTGCACCTAGAATACCAATGTCATCCCGCCGACGCGGGGCTGCTGCTCTTCGCGGCTCTGCGGGTGCCTTGTGTGGGGCTGGAGGGGGGTGAGGGTCGGTGGTGGGGGCAGAAGCACCGTGATGCCGTCTGCTCCCCGAGCTCTGGCCCTGCCATCCGGGGCAGCAGCATCCCCATAGGTGTCCCCTGGGCTAATCCAGCCCCTGTCCCCTGGTTCTGTGATCGCCTGGCACGGCAGCCCTGGGACAAGGCACTTCTCTCCCCGGGGCTGTGTGTGGCCGGCGGTAGCTCCAGCAAGAGCCAGGACTGCGGTTTGCAGTGGCCCAGAGGGCTCTGGGGCTGCCAGCGGCGTTGCCAATTGCTGGGATGGATGGAGATGGTTTGGGAAAGCTCATCCCTTGCAGCTGAGTGCTTTTGTCAGCAAGTCCCAGAGGCGCTGCTGGAGTTGGGAGCAAGAGGTGGGAAAACCTCTGACAACCTTCTGCCTCCTGCCCATTTCCCTGCCGGCGCGGCTCTGCCTGCTCCTGCCTCCACCGCCCCGGCACGGAGAGCACCGAGGTGGTCGGCATTGCTCGGTGTTGTGCTCAGCAAGGTCCATGGGGCTTTCTGGTGGCCCTGTCACAGGGAAAGAGCTGTTGGCACCATGATGCTGAGCGTGCGAGTGGGCATCCCTACCCAGGGGCGCTGGGCTTGGTGCCCTGCTGGGTCCCAGTCCCCCAGTGCCTGCGGTCACATCTCCGGGATGAGCTGGGAAGATGTGCCCCAGCAAACCAAAAAGACAAATTTCAGCCCCAAAGCATTTTTGAGTTATTTCGCAGTGCTGGTGTTTTAAGCAGGAAACATAAAAATTAATGTCTCATCATCTCCAACTCACGTAGGACCTGAGGCTGAAGGGAATGAAATCAGAGCAAGGTCCTCTCATCCCCAGTGGCGGTGGCTGCTGGTCCCGCGGGGTGCGGGGACGGGGAGCGGGGATGGGGAACGGAGCTGCGTCAGCCCCTGCCCTGGGGGGAGGAGATGATTCCCAAGCCCAGAAATCAGGTTCTCTTGGGCATTTCTGCACCTTGGTCTCAGGGTCAGGGCTACTGGGAGAACGCCTTGGGGACAGACCCCCTTTGGCTGTGCTTGCCCAGGCTTGAGGCAGGTTTTCCCGGGGGGGATCATTCCCATGGCAGGCAGCCCCCCTGTCCCGCTGCTGGGGCATCCTGTGCCTGGCAGCACTTCCCCAGGGCAGGTAAAGAGGGGGAAGGAGCTTTTCTCAATGTCACTTTGCAGATTTCCAACTAATTATGTTTTTCCAAGGCGCAGTGGCATCCCCTGGGTGAGCAGAACCTGCTTGCTGCCTTGGATGGGGTGGGGGAGCCCCCGGTGCTCGGGGCCGGTGGCCGCGGGGCTGCCATCGCACGGCCCCAGCTCCCGGCGGGTTCTTGGCAAGGAGCTTGAGGAATTAATAAATTCAGGACAGTGACCATCTGCTGGCGGGTGCTTCCCAGGCAATCGGTGAAATTAATTGGACGCAGTTAATGCTTTACAAACCATCCTTCCTAATGGGAAGCTCGGCCGGGTCGGAGCGGTGTTCCCGGGATGCTCTGAGCCCCGGCCCTGCTCCCGGTTGCCGCTGGCTCAGCTGCCAAGGGTTGGGGTTGCCGGGATGGGGACACACACTGCAGACTAGTTCCTGACCAGTTGCACTGCTGTTCCTGACCAGTTCTGTCTCCCCCCAGCCGAGATCGGGGACTATGACCCAGGGAAGCACCCGGAGGGCTACAGCTCCAAGTTCCAGTTCTTCCCCAAACACTCGGAGAAGCTGGAGAGGAAAATCGCGGAGATCCACAAGTCAGAGCTGAGGTAGGGCCGGGGTCTGGCTGGGTGGGAGCAGTGGATGCTGCAGGGATAACTGATGCTCGGCTGGTTTTGGTCCCTGTTTGGGATTTTGAGCCGTGCCATGGGAGGAGCACTCGGGGCTGTGGGATCCGGTGGTGCCCTTGGTGGGGTTGGTGGCAGCAGAAACGCCGAGTGGAGCTGGCTTTGGGAATGCAGGTCGTTGGGTGGCGTGGAGGCATCACAACAAATCTCCCTGCGAGAGGAGCTGCCGTGCCCCACAAAACCCTGCTGACGGGAAAATGTGACGGAGCGGTCAAGGGCACGCTGGGGGAAGTGCAGGCAAATCAAAAAATACGTCGGCAATGCGGCAAAATCAGCGCGATCTGTCCCGGGGGAGTGAGGGGTTTCTCCTTTTCATGGCCCTTGGCATAACCCGGGGGGGGTCCCTGGTCTTCCCCGGTGGGATGGGGACAGAGACCACCCCCCTGTCCCCCATAGATCCCCCCTGCCACCTCCCCTCCTGCTCTGGGGACAGGAGGTGTGAGAGACCGTCCCCAAAGCCCCGTCCTCCCAGTGCCATGTCCCGACCAGGCAGCCCTGTGCCTGTCCCCGGGAAGGACGGGGGGGTTGAACCCCCCAGAAACCCAGCAGAGCCATCCCTTACGTGCCCTGGGCTGCTGCCATCTGCCTGGCAAACTCCCCGTTCCTCCCCCCGCAAAGAGACACCTGTGCTGCCTTTAGGAAATCCAGCCCTAAATTTTGTGGATACCCGTCCGGTTTGGTCCTTTCAGGCAGTGCTGGCCCAGGAGATGGGATCTCCTGAGGGATGGGGGTGGTGGGAGACGAAGGGGTGGGTTTGGGTGCTGGGCTCCTGCTGCAGAGGGACGGTGCTGAGGGATGTAATGGGGATGTGCCCCAAATGATGCCTCTTGTGACAGAAACCCTGCAGCCGAGGGCTGACTTTCACATTCATGTCTTCCATGCAATATTTGGGGTCTTTTCCCCTTTTTTCCCTCCTGCAGCGGGCAGACACCAGCTACTTCAGAGCTGAATTTCCTCAGGAAAGCCCAGACTCTGGAGACCTACGGGGTGGACCCACACCCTTGCAAGGTAAAGCAGTTTTTCTAAGGCTGTTCCTTGGGCTGGACTGCGGCTCCAGCCGGTGCCAGGCTGCAGAGGTGCCCCTGACCGGTCCCCGGTGCAGCCCATTGTCACCTGAAAAACCAGCCCCAAGCAGCGGTGTGTGCAGAGGGGGGAGTGGGGAGGGTCAGCATCCCAAAATCATAGAATCATAGAGTGATAGAATGGTTTGGGTTGGAAGGGACCTTAAAGATCATCAAGTTCCATCCCCCCTGCCCTGGGCAGGGACACCTCCCACCACCCCAGGTTGCTCACAGCCCCATCCAGCCTGGCCTTGAACACTTCCAGGGATGGGGCAGCCACAGCTTCCCTGGGAATCCTTCCAGAGAGTATTTAGGGAAGCATTAGGACAGTGTTTTCACATGCAGACAGCTATGAGAGACAGCAGCTGATCATCTTCTGCTAAAGCATGTCATTTGGAGGCAGGAACAGGGTCAGTAATGTGTCTGAGAAACCAACAAGCATTAATCTGCCTGAGAGAGTCTATCGTTCTGCTCTTCCCTGGCCAGTAATCCAGTTTTCTGTTTGAAATGCTTTTTATTGACTCTAGATGTCATTGTGTTTGGCTCTCTCTGGTCCCTTATGATCCCATCGCGTGCAGATGGATGTGGGATGCAAAGCAGGGGGAGAATTTTACTCAAAGGGCAGTGCCTGCTCTGTGCTCCCCCGGGGCTTTTAACTGAATTATGCCCTTTAAACACACAATTGGGGTAACTGAACCTGCCCTGGGGGGGGGAGGGGGTTCCCTCAGCTGCAGCATCAGCCATAGCCAGGGCTGGGGTGTCAGTGGTGGGCTGGGGGCTCTGTACCCGCCCGGAGGGTACGTCCCTCTCCAAGATGCTGCTTCTCCCATTCCCCAGAGTTTTCCCAGGCTGGTTTCTGTGAAGATGCACCGAAATCTCTCTCTCTGTGCAGGACAGGGCTCTGCAGCTCGGACACCATGACTCCAGGGATTGGCATCTTGCCTTGTGCAGGGCATGGGGTGGGGGTTCAGGGCGCTCTGCTTTCGGCCATTCACCCTTGACAGATTGAGGCGGATTTTGGATCTAATTTGGATTTAAAACCAATTTGTTCTGTGCTCAAATTCAGAAGATCTCCTCACAGCGCTGGCTCCCCCAGCAGCCCCAGGAGGCCTTTGAGGTGGCCGCCCCTGCCCCGTGCCAGCAGAGTAACCAAAAACGGGCACCCGGGGTGGAGAGCGAACGGCAGAGAAGATCCTTGTCTCTTGATTGACCCGGGGAAGGGCCCAACTGGGAGCAGAGGGGAGAGCTGTGCTCCTGAGCCGGGGACGTCCTGGACATGGGGTGTCCCAGGGGCGAGCAGAGCTGCCCCATGGATGCCCCATGGATGCCCCATGGATGCCATGCTTTCCCCCAAGGAAACATCACAGACACCAGACGGGTATTGCTCTTCTGCCACCACCCACAGGGAATTCCTCTCCTGCTCTTCCTGCCCAGTCCCCCAGAAATCCCGAGCCTGGCATCACCTTCCCTTCGGCTCAGCATCCTTCGAAAGCTACCGGAACATCTGCCAGCCAAATTAAAGTCAGGGCAAATCTAACAATTACTGATCAGCCACAGCTGTTTCATAATATTTTTGAAACCGAGTATGTCTCTGTTTTTTCCACGCACACCAGTGCAGTTAATGATTACTTCCCTGGAGTCTAGACGTTATGATTAAGTTAAACTGCTGCCTTGCTCCGTACATGACACTAATTATTGGTTTTAAACTGTCTCGCTGCCGCCCAGCTGCACTGGCTGTGCCGGGCTCCGAGGGGAGCCAAGTGTAACGGGGTTTTACCATCTCCTGGTTTAATTACTAGCGAAAGGGCTGGTGAGGCACTGCCTTTGCTGTTTTCCTCACCAGTAAGCGGATTGGAGTGCTGGGATTTCTCCCCATTAGTGCTGCTGGACCAGCTGCCCCGTTTCTCAGCGGTGGGTTTTGCTGGGTGTTTGGGGTGTCATGGTCCACGTGAACCCCCCAGGAGCATCCCGCTGGTGTCGTCAGCACAGAGGGTCCTGCGTCACCACCGCCTTCGGGGCCCCAGGTCGCTGGTGATGTATAACCTTTGCCAGCTCGGCGACGCTTCGGGGCCCAGGGTCGCTGGTGATGTATAACCTTTGCCAGCTTGGCGACGTTCTGCTGAGGGATTGCTGTTGCCTTCCAGGACGTGTCGGGGAACGCGGCGTTTTTGGCCTTCACTCCCTTCGGTTTTGTTGTTCTGCAGGGAAACAAGAGAGTTCACTTCATCAAGTGGTGAGTTCCCACCCCGGCACGGTCCCCCATGCCCGGCTCGCTCCGGCTCACGAGGTGCACGTGGGGCTGGGGCCGGGAGAGCCCCACATCGCCTTCGGGGGATGCTCGGGTGGGCTCCTGCAGACGGGGTGTGGGGGTGATGACTCACAGAATGGTCAGAGTTGGAGGGGACCTTAGATCATCGATTTCCACCCCCCTGCCCATGGCAGGGACACCTCCACTAGAGCAGGTTACTAGGGTGGTCCCCCGGGCTGCGGGGGGTCCCTCACCCCCCTCTCCCTGTCATTGCAGGAACGAGGTGACCAAAATGAAATTCGAAGGGAAGACTTTCTACCTGTACGTAAGTCAGAAAGAGGTGAGTGCTTTCCCTTCCCACAGGGCTTCCCGGGTGCAGCCGTGGCCATTGCAGGTCCCTGGTGCCCGTGGGGGCGGCATCGCCCCGTGCTGCGGGGGGGGGCACGGGCAGGGTGGCAGCAGGGGCTGCAGCTTGGTGGCAGCGCCGGGGTCACCTCCCTGCTCCCGCTGGCACCTTGCTGTGGGCGTTAGAGCCCGCAGACGCCGGGTCAGCCCTGGGTGGTGCCGTGGCCACAGCCCTGCCCTCAGCAGTAGCCCAGGACCTCAGGCAGCCTCTCCCTGTGCTCCCCCCCCCAGCCAAGTGCCACGTTTGGGGTTGTTGTGGTTATTTGTTACTGCTGTGCCCCTTGGGAATGAAATTCACCCCCCTGGTGAATGAAATCAGCCCCCAAACCTCTGGCTGAAATTGGCTCCCGTGCAAGCCATCAGCATGATTTTTTTAAAAAAATGAGTTTCTGATCATTGAAAAGGGCAGGTTGGGAGGGGGGGGTGGCAGGTCAGCAGCACGCATGGCTGCCCGTCCCTCGTGCGAGGTGCCGTGCTGGGATGCTGGCTGATGCTCCGACGTCTCCCTGTGTCCTGAGTGGCTCCGGAGCAGGATCTGCCCCGTTCCAGAGCCGTTCTCCAGCCCCGGCTGCTCTGTCCTCCCTCTGCATCCCCAGCGTCCTGCCCGTGGCCACCACTCGCCTGGTCCCCAACTCACCCCTTCTCTTTCCCCTTTAGGAGAAGAAGATTGTTCTCACCTATTTTGCCCCGACACCAGAAGCCTGCAAGCACCTCTGGAAGTGTGGGATAGAAAACCAGGCTTTCTACAAGTAAGTGACAGGGCACCCGGGTGTGCGGGGGGGCTGTTGTGTGTCCCCCCCATGGGTGCTGCCCCACAAGGCACCCCCCCAGGGCTCCATCCAGGCACCAGGGGCTCGGGCATGGGCTGGCACCGGCAGCGTGGCCCCAGTGGCCCCAGCAGAGTCACCGGCCACCAAAAGCAGCCATGGCCTCTAGGCAAAACCTTTGGTCAGGACATTAAAGCTAATTGTTTGGAGATCAGACCTTTAATGCTGAGCAACTGAAGCAAGTCCTGCCCGCAGCAGCACCCGTGTTTTACCATTTTCCCTGTTAATGGCAGCATTTTTGGAGCCGGCCGGCGCGGGCAGATGCTCGGGAGCTGCCGGTTCAGTGTGGGACGCCAGCAAGACTGAGGGAATGTTCTCTGACCCAATATTCAGGGATGGATTTTCAGAATGGCTTTGTGTGGTCTGTTTGTGCTGAATCCAGCGCAAAAATCCCCACTGAAGCCGAGCCAGCGCCCCGGGGTGCTTTAGAGAAACCTGCCTTTAGAGAAGCCTGCCTTTTAATGAGGAAGGTTCAAAAACTTTCTGAAATAATCTGCTTCTAAGCTCTTTGGGAACAAGTTAATTATTCATGGGAAACATTCAAGGGACCAAGGTGGTGATGCACAGCCTGGGCTGCAGCCACGAGCCGCTGGGGACAGTGGCTCGAGGGACCGTCCCTGCAGCTGCCTGGCTTTGGGGGACCCCCGGGCTGGGGGTGTCACCAGTTCTGTCCTTTCCCAGCAGCTCTGGGCTCCCCAGCTCATGGCCACCTCATCAGCTCCTCTGCCCCTGGTGTGGCTAATTGGCTAATTGGGTTCAGAAGGTGGAAGGTCCCGGGCTGGATTGTGCCAAAACACGGGGGAGGTGCCAGGTGGAAGGGTTTGGTTTTACCATCCTGCTCATGTTGTTATTTAAAAATAGCCTGCTTTGTGCTTCGTAATGAGTTTTATTTTAATCAGCAAGATGCGAGATAAAGCGTGTGATGTATTCTCTTTGGGAATACTGCAATCAGCAGCTGCAATCAGCAGGTTTCATTTCTCATTATATTAACATGAAATGAAATTGCGATATTGCTTTACAAATCTTTTTATGATTAATGGTGTCAGTGAGTTACTGCCGGATGATGCGCCGGTGGGGTGGACCGTGGGCTCGGCCGAGGTGCTGCCGGGCTCACGCTGGGGCGAGGGACGGGTTCCCCGGGGATGAGGAGTCGGGACTGTCCCTCCCAGCCCCCCTCCAGCCCCTGGGATGGCTGTTGGCAGCAGAGCCCGGGCACGGGCTGGGCAATGCTCCCACTGCCAGCAGGGATGTGCTGGGCTGGCCGAGAGGGCTGTGAGGTGTTGCTGTGATGGTCCGGGTGCTCGTGTCCCACCAGCTGGTGCCACCCCACCGCTGCCAGGGGCTTGTTTCATTCCTGGTGGTGTTTGGCACCTCCAGGGCTCTGCTCCTGTCATTTGGCCTGGCTGTCATTTGCCGGCGGCTCTTGGCTCCCTCCCTCTGGAGCCGGGGTCCGTCTGGCGGGGATGAAGCCGTGCCAGCACCAGCAGAGCGGTCAGTCCTCGCCACCGGCACGCAGGGCGCTCACACAGCTCTTGGTGCTGTTGCAGGTTGGAGAAGTCGAGCCAGGTCCGGACGGTGTCCAGCAGCAACTTGTTCTTCAAGGGAAGCCGGTTCCGATACAGGTAAATAATGACAGTAAGTAGCAGTTACTGGATATATTTTGGGATGCTCCTTTGGACGTGCTTTGGGGAGCAGTTTGGGGCTGCAGTGGTCTGAGGACTTGCTGAGGATCCTCCTGTCACCAGAGGTCCTCCCTCCCGCTGCAGTGCAGCCACCTCAGCAAGGCCATCACCTCTTTGTTCTGTGTCACACGGCTGGCATCCCTCTCCCCAGCCCCGGGATGGCAGGGCTTTGGAGGGACAGGAGGGGAGAGGAGAGGACAGGGGGCTTTGGGGTGTTCCTGGGAGGGTGTTGCTTCTCCTTGGCCCTGGAGCAAGAGCCTGGACCTGGGACTTCGTATCTCTGCAGGACAAGAGACCTCAGTGCATCCCCACCTGGGAGGTGCATGATGCTGGTCCCCTCCTTGCTGGCATGGGAGGGCCCAGGCGCCCACGGCATGTCCCCCCCCGAGAGGGGAGGTGACCCCCACAGAGTCCAGTATCTCATGCCAGGAGAAGCATCAAAGTATGGTGGCAGAGGTGTCAGCCCAGCCTTTCCCTGTTCTTCCCATCACCCTTATTTCCAGCAAACATGTCTCTGCTTCCCCCTGGAGCTCCGGGCAGACCCCCCCACTGGCCCATGTGGTGGGGAGGGGGCCAGGCCGTGCCGGGGCATGGTGGTGCCATGGGGGGAGCTCGTGGCTCACCGGTGTGGTGGTCACATCCTCATGCTGCTGTTCTTCACCTGCTGCAGTGGCCGCGTCGCGAAGGAGGTGATGGAGTCCAGTGCCAAGATCAAGAGGGAGCCCCCCGAGATCCACCGGTAAGAGCAGGGCAGCAGCCGTGGGGGCAGAGCCACCACGCACCCGGGGCTCTGACACCGTCCCCCTTCTCCTCCCCAGGGCAGGGCTGGTGCCGAGCCGGAGCTGCCCCTCCATCACCCACGGCCCCCGGCTGAGCAGCGTGCCCCGCACCCGCAGGAGAGCCGTCCACATCTCCATCATGGAAGGTAGGGCATGGGGGGGCTCTCCCTGACACTGCCGGGGCTCGTGGACGGGACACGCACACGCATGTGCACACACACTTATGCATCCACAAAAACCAGAGACACACACACACGCATCCAGCTGGTTTTTGTAGCCCCTGATATGGGGACAGCATGGTGGGAAAGGTCTCTGTCATGTCCCCAGGGTCCCTGGCAGGGCAGGACATCACCAGATGTTGCTCTTGTACTCAGCGCTGGGGAGGCCACACCTGGGGTGTTGTGTCCAGTTTAGGGCACCTCAATACAAGAGAGATGTGGAGGTGCTGGAGCAGGAGCAGAGGAAGGCAACTAAGCTGGGGAAGGGCCTGGAGAGCAAATCGTACAAAGAGCAATTGAGGGAGCTGGGACTGTTTAGTTTGAGGAAGAGGAGGCTGAGGGGAGACCTCATCACTCTCTACAGCTACTTGAAAGGACATTGTGGAGAGGTTGATGCTGGTCTCTTCTCACAGGTCATTAGTGATAGAACAAGAGGGAACGGCTTCAAGCTCCAACAGGGTAGGTTTAAACTGACCATTGGCAAGGAGTTTTTCACAGAAAGAGTGGTCAGACCCTGGAACAGGCTGCCCAGGGAGGTGGTTGAGTCACCATCCTTGGGTGTGTTTAAGGGTCGTTTAGATGTGGTGTTGGGGGATATGGTGTAGGGGAGAACTTTGTAGAGTAGGGTAGATGGTTGGACTCGATGATCCCAAGGGTCTCTTCCAACCTGAGTGATTCTATGATTCTTGTGGTTTGGGGACAGTTTGGCATCACAAGCTGAGCCCAGGCAAAGCAAAGGGCCGGTTGTGGGGCAGGAGTTTCCAGCCCAGAAGCAAAGCAGAGGAGAGTTTCTCAGCAATGTTAATTTAGGTTAAATTGGAAATCCAGTAAAAGGCTGCAGGTTGTCCTGAGGGCTCTGAGCCGGGTGAGCGGTGAGTGAGCCCTGCTTTGAGGGTTCCCAACAGCCCCATCCCAGTGTCCCTCGCTCTGCTCCTCCAAACGTGGCCTTGGTGTGAAAGCAAAGCAGTAAAAGCACTGCCTGCCCAAAGGGACAGGTCCCTTGGAGCAGGAAAGGAGTGTTTTTCCATGGAAGGAGCCCTGGACTGGCGTCTGCGCTGGTTTTTGGGTCTGGAGCCTGTGGGGTGGCTGCGGCAGCCCCTGCAGCCTGGGTCACTGCTGGTGGCCACCTCCCACGCCTGCTATTGGGAAGCAGCAAGAGCATTAAATAGCCTCCCGCAATAAATCACCGGGGCTGGCACGGGCTCCCGGCACCACCCCTGCCCCGGCAGCTCTCGCCCTGCCGGCAGCTGCTTTTCTTCCCTCTCACTTCAGCTTGGTCCCGTGGAAATGCGGGTGCCCAAAATAGCCCTGGCCCGGGGGCCAGCGCCACCAGCCCGGCTTGCGTCAGCCGTGCCGGGGGGCCAGCAGCCGTCCCCGCTCCCCGCCGCAGTCCCCGCAGTCCCCCCGCTGCCCGTGCCACCATGGTGAAGTGCCTGGTGAAGATCAAAACCAAAGTCACCGTCCACCTGCGGCTCATCAACCACTGCTGCCGGGAGGTGAGGGTGCGGGTGCTGGCCCTGGGGCCGCGGCTGCTCACCCGGGCTCTGGGCATTCTGCCGCTCCTCCCGGCTCTCCCCGGCCTCGGCCACGACGCCCCGCGCGGCCCCGGGGACACCCTCGTGCCAGGTAATGCCACGCCAACGGGCTGTGCTGGGTCTGGGCTCTTCTTCGGCAGGAGCGTCCCCGGGGGGGCCCCACGGCCACAGCCCCAGGGGGATGCGGGAACGTGGGGTGCAGGACACCGTGCTGTGGGGAGCAGGCTGGGGGTCCGAGCTGGCTGGACCCTGGGTCGTTACTACCACGAAGCTGCTCCAAGTTTTGGGGCTGGACACAGCTTTTTTCTGATTCACTAGCTTTTTATGGCAGTCCCGTGGAAAAAGCAGGTGGG